AAATGGTCTGGGCAAGTCCCTACCCATCAGGTGTAAGAGAACTGGGGAGGCCCTGGAAGTTACGGGGAAGGATGAAAGCGCTGCTGGGTCAGAGGAGAGGAACAGAGAATAGGAAAGAGTGTGAACTGCACTGTGAAAGCTTTTACTAACTTGTCCAAGTGATTGAATTTAACCTCTCTGAGCTTCCGTTTCCCCAGCTGTCATCTGGAGACCATACTGATCTTGCCTTCTTCCCTAAGCAGTTGTAAAAATATATAGTTAAATGTTAGAAGCCCTTAGGAATGCAGCCTTGATATTTCACAGACCTGTGCTGGACTCCCCCTCATAAACGATGCGACTGTGGGAAAAATGCAAAGCTCCATGAGCCATGGTGCCCTCATCTATAAAATGGGGGTAATAATTAGAGCTACCTCCCAGGGTGAGAAAACTATGTAAATAAAGTGCTTGGCACGTAGTGCTCAATAATACTGTCTGTTTTCATATGAGTTGATGACACTTATTATTTAAGGAAAGGACCACACCTGGGAACATTAAAAGGAAGGACACAAAGTCTAACTTACCCTGGAACTGATTGCTTCCTTTAGCCAAGTATGAGGTGTGGCTCAAAGGAATGAGGAAGTTGTTCAGGAGGTGACAGCACACAGCACACTGTCTTCACTCTGTCTCCTCCCAAGGGGGAGGAGTAGAGAGATTAGCTGACCCACCCCAAAGATCAGATGTCCTTGTCCCCTGCCCACCCCACCCCCCGATACACACACATACAGTCCATTGACTCCTTATGGTCCCTTCCTGCCAATCTAGTCATCAAATCTTATGGGGGCATCCTTTGTAATAATAATGATTGTATGAGACTGGTGGTACTGTTACTCTGAAGCATCCTTCATAATCTCTTTCCCAGAAACAGAATCTAGAGTTAGGGACTTCCCTGGTGGTACAGTGGATAAGAATCTGCCTGCCATTGTAGGGGACACGGGTTTGATCCCTGGTCTAGGAAGATTCTCTATGCCATTGAGCCTGTGTGCCTAGAGCCTGTGCTCCGCAATAAGAGAAGCCACCGCAATGAGAAGTCTGTAAACCACAATGAAGATAGACCCTGTTGGCCACAACTAGAGAAAGTCTGTGCTCAGCAACAAAGACCCAGAGCAACCAAAAATAAACAAGCAAACAAAAATGAATAAATAAAGCTATCCTAGGACTTCCCTGGGGTGGGGCGCGGGGCTGGGGGTGGGGGGCGGCGGCGAGGAAGAATCTGTCTTCCAATGCAGGGGACAAGAGTTCAATCCTGGATCAGGGAACTAAGATCCCACATGCTGTGGGGCAACTAAGCCTGGGCACCACAACTAGAGAACCCGTGTGCTGCAACTCGAGAAGGCCTTGAGCCATCAAGAAGTTCCATGCTGCAACTGAGACCAGTTAAATAAATTAATATATATATAAAGAATCCAGAGTTACAGGGACTTAGAGATTATTCTGCATTTCACAGATGGAGAAACTGAAGTCCAGAGAAGGGAAGGGATTTACCTGAGACCCCACAAAAAGTTCATGGCAGAGGTAGGACTAAAACCTGTAGCTCCTGACTTCCAGCCCAGGGCCAACGCTCCTGTCACCACACACCTGTCCTAGGCTTTCTTTTCCCGCTGCCACCCAACCTATTCTCTAATCTTCTGGACCACTCCAGTGGTCCATAACTGGTCCTCCCTGCCTCTAGTGCCTTCCTATCAATTTGTTCTATATATTCAGTCTGGTGACTGTCTGGAAGCACAGCCTTGATCTTGTTTCTTCCCTCCTAATAGAACTTACTTATTTTTCAGCTTGAAGAGTTATCTGATTCCTGGTTCAACCTCTAACTGAAGATCCAATCTTTGTTTGAATACATTTATTGACAGGGAGTTCATCACTCCCACGGTGGTCCACTGCATTCTTGGATCCTGTTGATTATTGTTGTTGTGTAGTCGCTAAGTTGTGTCTGACTTCTTTGCAACCCCATGGACCAGGCTCCTCCATCCATGGGATTTCCCAGGCAAGAATACTGGAGTGGGTTGCCATTTCTTCCTCCAGGGGATCTTCCAGATCCAGAAATTGTATCCGTGTCTCCTGCACTGGAGCTTCTCTGGTGGCTCAGTGGTAAAGAATCTGCCTGCAAGGCAGGAGACGAAGGAGACAGGAGTTCAATCCCTGGGCCCGGAAGATCCCTTGGAGGAGGGCATGGCAACCCACTCCAGTGAATGCCTGCAAAATCCCATGGACAGAGGAGCATGATGGGCTATAGTCCATAGGGTCTCAAAGAGTCAGACATGACTGAAGCGACTGAGTACGCAGGCACGCATTCCTGCATTGGCAGGCAGATTCTTTACCCCTGAGCCACCAGGGAAGCCCCGTTGACTGTTAGAGTTCTTTATAATAAGCTGAAATTCTCCTCCTGGATGTTCACCCACTGAAGCTGAGTGGAACTCTTTCACATCCATTTGCCAGCAAATTGTAGTCAATGTTTGATATGAGCCAGGTTCTGGGTGGATTAGGTGCTGAGGGGAACAAGAAAGAGGAATTGGACATGGATCCTTCCATCAGAGAGTGGGCCTCAGGGCTTCACAGAGTTTTTTTGTTTTGTTTATTAGGCCTAAAAAATAAACCGATCAAATCCCCTTTCTGTATGACAGCCTTTCAGATATTTGGAGACAGCCACTCTATCCTCCTGTGCTTTCCCTTCTCCAGGGTATTTAAATAATTTGCCACAGAACATGGCATCCAGGTTTCAGCATTCTGGTCTCTTCTAGACATGCTCTAGTGTGACAGTGTACCCTTCGGAACGTGGGCCTGGAGCTGAGATCTGTGGCCCAGTTGCGATCAGCCCAAGGCAGCCCAGAGTCTCTAACAGAATTAGAACCACAGAGGTCTAACCTTCTGTTTCTGTCGATACAGTATATCATGTTCACTCTCCTCCCCTTCCTTCCTTTTTTCTTTCCTCCTACCCTCCCTTCCTTCTTTCTTTTTTTTGCAGCCACATATTGTTGAGCTTGAGGTCATCTCAAACCTATAAGTCATTGTCACTGAAACTGCTCTTAATCTAGATTCTTTCTACCCTGTATTTTGGGCACTGGTCCAATATGGCAGCCACTGGCCCCATGTGACAATTTAAAGTACTTAAAAAGAAAAACAAATACTTAACACTAATTGAAATTAAGGTTTTAGTTTCTCATTTGTAGGAGTCACATTTCAAGGGCTCAACCACCACAGTTGTCTAGTGGCAACTAAGTCAGACAATGCCTATCTAGGACATTCCCATCATCACTGAAAGTTCTATGGGGCTGCTCTGGTTTGGACTGAAGGGCAGGTATTTACATTTATCCCTTGTGGCACTTACTTCATCTTGTTAGTTTCAGCTCAGCTCCAAGGCTGCTGAGAATTCTTTGGAAACTCATTTTGGTTCCGGAGTATTTGTGGGCCCTCCCAACTTCATGACAGCTGTAGATTTGATTAGCGTTTCATGCCTTCCTCTGCTTCATCTAAAACCACCGATAAAAATGTCCAGTGGACCAGAGCTGCAGTGGAGTGCTGCACATGGCCCTCTGCACTCCAGGGTCATTCAGGCAGTAGTTTAAGCAATGAGGCCTATATACCAGGCCCTGTGTACCGGGCACCTGTTACACATGAGACAGACAATGACAAGTAAAGAGTCCTGCTAGGAATTCAAATGCCTTCACCTTGCATCCAGGGTTGCTTCTTTCTGGCCTATAGTAGCTAACTGCAGGCTTAAGAATCAGCTTCCTGGGTTTGTATCCTGATTCTGCCACTTTATTTAAAAAATATTTATTCATTTATTTTAATTATTATTGTTTGGCTGCACTGGGTCTTTGTCAGGGGCTCTCTAGTGGCTGCACATGGACTCAGTTGCCCTGCAGCATGGGGAATCTTCTAGGACCAGGGATTGAACCAGTGTCCCCTGCATTTGGAGGCAGATTCTTAATCATTGGACCACCATGGTCGTCCTCTGTGCCACTTTATATATTATGTAATGTCTTCGTGTTTCAGTTTCCTAAGAACCTCCATCCCACCATGTTGTTATGGGATTAAATGAGTTAGTGCAAGTAAAGCCCTTAGAACAGTGCCTGGCATATAGTAATTAATGTAATATTAACTATTATTTATTCTCATGATTAATTATAATTTTCCCCTGGACAGGCCATGCTCAGTCCTGCTTTGGGGTCTCAGGTCCTCACTTCTGTCCTCTTTTAGTTTGTGGATGACTTTTCAGGCCCAAACAAGGCCTGCCCTCCTTGATTTATGTTCTTGGCTGCTCACCTGGCACTTCGTATCCTCTGCTGGAGGGGTTACTGCAGTGAAGAACTCCAATAATTGTTAGGCTTCATCTTGGTTCTGTTTGTCCTGCTGGAGAGACCTAGGACAAGCTTTCATCTATAAAATGATGAAATGATAATCACAGCTGCCTCACAGCACCACAGTGAGGGCTAAGTGAGACAAAGTAGATGGGACTTCCTGCCCTTAGTAGGCCTTTTCATCCAGTAAAGCCTCTGAAAGTGCGGCTTCTTCCACATTTCTGTGTTTTAAGTCGTGTCTAACCAAGGAGGTCAGGCTCATTATTCCCTGTCCTTCTGGAGGGCCTGCCCCTATCCCAGGAGCTCTGGGCAGGAATCCCCTGTTTCTTCTTCTGTGGAATGTGGCTCCCTAATGGGTTCCCTGCCTTCTTCTCGCTGCTGTCTCCAGCTTGCTGAACTTAGGTTAGTTCCTCCCCCCAAGCCTCAGTCTATACTCAAAGTAGGACCTGACGGGGCACCTCTAAGGGCGGTGGAGATTTAAACTCTAATTTAGAAAAGCTCTTTACTTTGGGTGTGCCTGATTGTGGAGGGTGGGCGTTGGCGCCCCGAGACAGGGGCCAGCCCTTGGAAAGCACCCCTACCCCTGCCAGGGTTCAGAGGTATTGCCACCTGAGTCCTCCCCCGAATGAGCGGCGCGGTCTTCCTCGAGCCCGGGTCGCGGGAACAATGGGAGGGCGGCTGGGAGGCAGGTGGGCGTCGGCCAGGTCGGGGCGGGAGGTGGACTGGATCGGCGAGCTGGGCGCCGGGGCTGTGGGGTTAGTCCGGGGCACCGGGCCGAGAGCCGAGGCGTCTTAGCCAGGGAAAACCGAGGTCGGCGCTGGCGGGGACCGGGAGGAGGCGGGGGGCGGGGCCCGAGCCCACCAGGCTGGGACGGGGAGGGCGCGGGGGCCCTGGGTGGGGTCTTCTCGGGGTCGCCCCGCCGCTCGCCCCGGCCTCTGAGCTCCGCGGCGACACAGGTAGGCCCCCGGCCCACGTGGGGAAGCGGGCGGCGGGCCACCAGCGCCAGGCGGGCTCGCGGGGCTCAGCCCCCCTCCCCTCCTCCCCTCCCCGGGGGCCGGCGCGGCTCCTCCCGACGCGCGGCCCCGGCTCGGGCGGCTTGGGCAGCTCGCGCGGCGGCGCTCCTCCCGCTGCTCGCTCGCTCGCTCGCCCGTGGCGGCCGGGATCGCGGGCGCTTCCTCGCGGGGAGCCGGCCGGGGCGGGGCGGAGGGGGGAGCCCGGGCGAGGGGGGCGGGCGGGGAGGGGGCTGCGCCGCGGGAGGGAGGGAGGGAGCGGGCGAGCCAGCGAGCGAGCGGGGCGTTTGTGCGCAGCTCCAGTGCGCCTCGGAGCCCGCCGGGCGGTCGCCGGACACACCGACCGAGGACAGACAGCGCCCGGAAGCCGCGCCGCCGCAGCCAGGTTAGCCACCCTCGTCGCCCACTCGGGGCCCCGGGGACCCCGCCGCGTCTGGGCTGGTGGGCGTGGGGAGGGGAATCGCCAAGGGCTCTGAGCGCAATTCCGGGTCCTGGAGAACTGACAGGCCGGTGGGCAGGCCGGGTGGACACCGCCGAGGCGGGCGGCGGGCGCCCAGAACCGGCGGGGCTGGGGGGACCCTGGCCTCGGTTTGTGCGTCTCAGTACTGGCGCCCGTCTGTGTGTGTGTCGGGATCTTCGTCGCCGGATGTGTGTTGGGTGTGAGCGCGCGTGTGCCCGTGGGTCCGTGCAAGTGGATGATCGGTGTGTGCGCGTGCGTGTGTGAGAGGGTGTGTGCCCTGTGTCTCCGCGCGTCCGGGTGGTGTGTGTGTGTGCGTGTGTCTGGGCGTGAATGTGTCTATGAGAGGGTGTGTCTGAATGTGTAACTGAGTGTGTGTACATTTGGATGAGGGTGTGTGCCGATGGCTTCGCCGGTGACTGGAACCTGTGGCGGTGTGCGTGTGTGTGCGCGCGCGCCAGTGTGAGTCCCCGTGTGTGCGCGTGTGAGGGCGGGTGTGCACCCGCGTAGCCCCGCGTAGCCCGGGTGTGCGTGTGCGCGGCTTTGTCTGCACACAGCCGGGAGGAAAGGGTGGGGGCGGCGGCCGAGGCGCCGCCGTCGCCGGGAACCGGGCACCTGGCCGGGCAGAGGGCGGCGGCGGTGGTGGGAGCGTGCCCTCGGGGCCGAGACTCCCCCCGGCAGGTGGGCGGCCACGCCCGGGGGGCCGGATTGAGCCCGGGTGACAGCGGAGCCGGCGCGCCCGGCCGAGCTGGAGCGGAGGGCGTGTCCTGCCTGGAGCCCGGGGGTGTGTGTGTGCGGGTGGCAGTGGCGACAGCGGTCCCCAGGTTGGTGACCCGGGCGGTTCAGGGATCCATTTCCTGTAGTGGCGCTGGGACCGTCGCCCAGAGGCAGACCGGGCCGGACCAGGTCTGCAGCACTCCCACCCTCACCCCTCCCTGCTCCCTGGGGTAGAGGCGCACCTTAGGTGCCCTGAGGGGGAGGAGGGAGATCCACTCTCTTAAAGGGCCAGTGCCCCTACTCCAAGGAATCCCCCCTCAGGAGATATCTACTCAGAGAGAGGTCTCTGGGTGTGTCTTACTCCTTTCTCCATCAATTGGTGCAGCGCAGGCATTTGGAAATGTGTGCATGTGTGAGTGTTCTCTCTGTGTGCTGCTTGTGCGTTTGAAGGCGCAGGTGTACATTATCAGTGAACAGTAATGATAAGGCATCTCTTGATGTCTATGTGTATGTGTTTTTCCATGGGTATATTTGTTTCTATGTATGTACACATAGCTGTTTTGTGTTAGTGAGCCTGTGCATGTGGGTTTGCAAGAGAAGTGGCATTTTGCTGCCAACTGGAAGAGGATAGAAAAATTCTATCCAGGGCCACCCTGTTTTAGAAAAACTGGGTGAAAAGGTGGTTTGGAAATTTAGCCCCTGGCTTTGCAGGTTTCAGATGCTGGTACTGAAATGTAGGTAGCATGAGATTAGACTAGCTAGGAGGATAGAAATGGAGACCCTTCCAAGAGGAAGGAAGTGTTCTGGAAGAGGGCTATCCAAGTGTAAGAATTCACCTTTCACTTCCAGTTCTTCTTCCCTAGAACCTGACCTCCCCCTCTGCTGCTCAGCTTGCCAGGATAAAGTGCACAGGATTTGAAGTATAAAGGGAGTGAGCTGGCAGTGTGAAAAGAAGGAGGGTGGCTCTGGGTGATAAGATTGGGCCAACAGCAGATTTCTGCAATTTAAAAAATGTTTCCCCACCAAGGCAGCAGAAGTTGGGGGTAAGCTGAGCCTGCTGTCGTCTTTCCTGAACCTCTTTCCCAGGGCAGGAAAGGCTGGTCTGCAGCTCAGGAGCCCTGGAATTTGGTGCAGGGGTCTCCTTTTGACTTTGGTCAAACCTTTCATGTACTTACCTACTCACTTGACACATTTTTTTGAGCTTCTCTTATGTAAGAGTCTAAACCCCCTAAGCCTCAGCTTCCCTAGCTGAGGAGCTAGGCTGGATTCTGGGACTTTGAGGCCCCTTCCCTTTCTCAGAGTGCTGGAGTTTGTCTCACTGTTACTCACATTCCAGCCCCTAAATGGGGGCCTCCCAGGTGGTGCTAGGGGTAAAGAATCTGCCTGCCAATGCAGGACACAGGTTCGATCCCTGGGTAGGGAAGATCCCCTGGAGGAGGAAATGGCAACCCACTGCAGTATTCTTGCCTGGAGAATCCCATGGAGAGAGGAGCCTGGTGGGCTACTGTCCATGGGGTCGCAGACAGTCAGACACAACTGAGCACAACACATCCTCCAAATATCCTGGCCATGGGTCTCACTCACCACTCCTTGCCCTCATATATTCCAGTCTAGAGCAGTGATTCTCAGAGTGTGGTCACCCCACCAGAAGCAGCAGCAGGGTGACCTAGGATCCTGTTAGACATTCTTGGGGCTCCCACCAGATATACAGAATCAATAACTCTCAGGGTGGTGCCCAGCAGTCCATGTTTTAACAAACACAGGTAATTCTGATGCACACCAGAGCTCAGGAGAGGTGCAGACAGGGAGCTGGAATCTTCCAGGGGAGGAAACCCCTGGAAAGCATCTCCTGCGCACCCTTCCTGAAATAGCTGACAGCCACAGCCTGGCTAGTAGAGGTTCTGGCTTCGAGTCTCAGGTCTTCCTTGTGATCTTGGACAAATCGCTCCTTCACCAAATAGTGCGATGACTCATTGACAGTGTCTGCTCTGGGCCAGGTTCTGAGTAAGGGGTTTTCCCTGCTCTGCTTCATTTCTCCACTTCTTATGCTGATCTACAGGACCCACAAGATTGAGTCCCTGCCCACCTCTCTAGAAACCATCACTCTGGCTTTCCTTTAGTTCATCCAGGCACCAGAAGCTCATTTGCCTTTGAGATTTTGCACTTTTTGTTCCCTCCATCTACCACACTCTTCCTCTGCTTCTTGTCTTGGTTAACTCCCACTTTTGAGATTTCAGCTCAAAAATCACTTTCTCAGGGGAGCCTTCACCCAGCAACTCCCTAAGACAAGTCAGTTTTTCCTGTTTTACATTCTTATAGCTTCCTGTATTTCCTAGCGCTTGTGTGAATTTGTAATTATACTTGAACTTGTTAGTTGGTTGTCTGTCTCCCCTCACTGGATTGTGAATGCCATCTGGGAAGGAACCTGCTTCTCAGTCCTCCTCGTGTCCCACACAGTGTTTGGCTTACGAGTCGTGTTTGATAAATTTGTTGAATGGATGACTTTGAAAATGGAAGATGGTATTAAATGATACTTAGGGCTTCCCAGGTGGCTCAGTGGTAAAGAATCTGCCTGCTAGTGCCGGAGACACAGGAGACGTGGGCTCGATCCCTGGGTCAAGAAGATCCCCTGGAGGAGGGCATGCAAACCCACTCCGGTATTCTTGCCCGGAGAATCCCATGGACAGAGTAGCCTGGTGGGCAACAGTCCATGGGGTCGAAAAGAGTAGGACACAACTGAGCAACTGAACCTGCAGTGCTCATGTTAAATGGTGCATCACCAACTCGATGGACATGGGTTTGAATAAACTCCAGGAGTTGGTGATGGACCGGGAGGCCTGGCGTGCTGCGATTCATGGGGTCGCAAAGAGTCGGACACAACTGAGCGACTGAACTGAACTGAACTGAACTGAAAGTGTCCTCTCAAGCCCTTATCTTTTAATATCTAAGCAGGCCTCAGACTTTTTTTATTGAAGTAGATTTATTTATCTGTCTTATTTTTCACTGCCATGTCACCATAGATTTGAAACCCTACTGTGTGCCCATACCCATGCTGGGCTCTGCTGTAGGGCAGGTGGGAAAAAGCTCTTCAGAAGACACAGTTTTCCGTGTCCTCCTGGGTTAAGTTCCTTCAAGAATGACAAGAAGAATGTTGAATAAGTGATCGAAAGATCTAGGTCCACATCTTATTACATGACTGTGAGCAAGTCACTCTCCTTTCTTGTTTCCTCTTCTGTGAAGTGAGGGTATTAGGATGGATGTATACCTAGCATTTGTCACTAACACTGGCACTAGAGTATGTAGCACCGTCTTTGCCACATACTAGTCGAGTAGACTTGGGCACATGACTTCATCTCTTCATTTCCTCACCTATATAATAGGATCAATAATAGTTTTGGGTTGTTCTGAGAATGAAGTAATATACATTCTTTTATTTTAAAAAATTAACTTATTAATTTGCATTGGGACTTATTTGCAGTATGCAGGATCATTATTGCGTTCTATGGGATCTTTCATTATGGTGCACAAATTCTGTAGTTATGGCCTGAGGGCTTCAGAGTGAGTGGGCTTCAGTAGTGGCAGAGTTTGGGCTTCGTTGCATCCCCTGCTTTTGGAAGGCGGATTCTTAACTACTGGATCACCGGGGAAGTCCCAACAGTTCAACATTCTTGAATGTCTTTGTACTGGGCCCTAGGCCTACAGAGACAGAAATGAATGCAGCATGTTCCCAGGCTGGGTATGTGAGGCAATGTGCAATGCCATGGTACAATGTACAGGGTGTCAGGGTATGGCTGTTGATGGAGGAAAAGGCAGTGTTTGGGCTAGACTTTATTTTCCAGATAGCTGGAGCAGTTCATGCAAAGGCATCGTGGATTGTTAAGGGAAATACAAAGAGTTCCATGCAGTTGGAGCAGAAGGTGGTGAGTGGTGGGGACAGGTGCAGTGAGTGGCTGGAGATAAAAAGGAAGTTTGAGGCCAGATCTGGCTGAGGCTGAAGAGCTTGAGTCCTACTGGTGGTGGTGGAATTAGGGAAGAAGACTAAGCTAGCCAGGAAGGATCAGATTTGCATTTCAAAACCACAGCTCTCCAGGTGGTGGGAGAGGTTGGCTTGGGTGGAGGGGGAGGATCGTCCACCTGGGGCTCACAGGGTGCTTATTTGCATGATGGAAGGGCCCAGTGGGGTGGATAGAGACCTGGAACACGGAATAAGCCTGGTGGTTGGGGACTTCAGGTCAGCCTGAACCAGAGCGGTGAAGGAGAGATGAGAATGACTCCTCCCAGGACCCCAGGCCTCCATTCACCTCCAAGGCTGCCTAGTGAGTGGGAATCTGAAAACTGGAATTTAAGAATTCCAGGTCTGTTGCTCAATGGACTCACCATGTATTAATTTCCTAGGGCTGCTTCATGAAATACCACAATCTGGGTGGCTTAAAAAAGCAGAAATGTTTTCTCTCGCAGTGTGGAACTACAAGTTAGAAAGCAAGGTGTCGGCAATGTTGGTTTCATCTGAAAGCTCTGAGCAGGGGGTCTGTTCAGTGCCCCCTCCTAACTTCTGGGTGGTGGCCAGCGACCCGTGGAGCCCTGGCTTGCAGCCGCACCTGCCTCTTCGTCACGTGGCTTTCTCCCCTTCCTCCTGGTGTGCCTCTGTGTCATCTCCTCTTCTAAGGACATCAGTCATTTGGGCTTAGTGCCAGCATGACCTCATTTTATTTTAACTAATTGCATCTGCAAAGACTCTGTTTCCAAACAAGGCCACATTCTGAGCTTCTTTGAAGACATGAATTTGAGGGGTGGGGGGACACTATTCAACCCAGTACATACAGGAAGATGGAAAAGAATGCAGGCCTTGGGGTCCCCCCAGCCCAGGTCCCAAACCAGGCTTTGCCATGGAACAGCCATGACACTTTTTCTCAGCCTCAGTGTTGTCTTCTCTGAAATGGGAAAGGTAGCACCTGGAGTGCTGGGTTGTGGTGGTGAGACACGGTCAAGGTGACAGATGTGGGGACTTCCCTGGTGGTCCAGTGGCTAAGACACTGAGTTCCCAATGCAGGGGGCCTGGGTTTGATCCCTGGTCAGGTCACTAAGATCCCACAGGCTGCAACTAAGAGTCCACATGCTGACGAAACTAAAGATCCTGTGTGCTGCAACAAGGACATGGCACTGTCAAATAAATAAATTAATTAAAATATACTGAAAAAATAAAACCAAAGACAACAGACGTGAGTGAGCCTGGT